GTGCATTCCTTATCTTTCAATCTAATCTATACAGTTGTGTACAGTCCTTCGTCGATCCAGGTAAATACTTCTGTGGTTTGATAGTACAGTTTCCCATCCGAAGGGGATTTTAACCTCTGATCCTACTGATTACCATAAATTGTTAGTTGTCAACTAGCAAACATGGGTTATATGGTAGTGTTTCATCATTTGATCTTTCAATGAATAACTGAAGCAATTTCGACTCCATATCTCTCGCTCTCAGCATTGCTCGATATGTGATAAAAAATCATCATAAGTATATTTTATGCTTAAGAAAAGTCCTTTGTTTTCTATATCTGGATAAGGGCCGTTCCAGACCTGTCGTATAAACGAACGACCTATGTAACTTTGGCTCCATCTCTTTCTCTCTGAGCGTTAGTCCACATATATGAAAATCATAAAAATACTCACCTGACTCATTCAACCTTTAGAAGAGGCCGACAGTACTCCTCTCTAGTACACTTCACAAACCATCACAAGCGTTAACATAAAACTCTCCTAAATTAATTGAATAAATAGTATATAAATGTACTCATCAATAGAAATCATGAAGAGTGCGCGCAAGCAATTCACATTCGGTTTTGTTGAAAACCAACACAAAATGGCGTTCGCTACTCGCATCTCTTTCTTTTGCATACAAAAACATTTCGAAAAATTCCGAACATGGAATTTATCATGTCATCCAGCAACACAAAGCGTCGTTTTTCTCTCACATATTTATCTCTCTTGCTGTCTCAGTATGGGATGGTCTCTTTCGATTACCGATTTTCCTGCCTACGTTTGCTCTCCTATATGACAAGCAATCACACACACCAATCACCCCTACACACACACTCACACTCGCACGTGCACAAGCAACTAAAACAAAAACGAAAAAATCTATGAGGTCAGTTCCTTGCGGAATTTTTAGTTTACGGCGCCCAGAAAATTAAATATTTTTCACACTTTGAGTAATTCTTTAACTTACCATTTTTGTATTCGTTTTCTCTGACATCTTAAGCCACACATTTACGTCACACTACACTCTTTTATTGTAAATAAAGCATAGAACTCTGCAACAACTCGTATAAGCAAACATTCAATACAACACGACAAAAGCAAACTGAAAGGCAAACAACAGTGAATACAGTGATGAAGAGCAAAGAGTAAAAACCAGTAAATTACAGCTATTGGCGGGGAATGTATTTACATATGTGAGTGAATATACCATCTAACAGAGATGTTAAAGTCTTAACAGCCTCATTTGCTCTGTAAATTTCCTGTTTGAGGGAAGGCGATTTCATTGTTATTTATTAATACACTGTTAAAATTTTAACTAGTTATTGTAGTTTAATTCTTCAGGGCATATTTTTTTTTTTTTTATTATTTTTTGTATGCTATAAATTTTACAAGAATTAACAAATCTTATAATAATTCTGTGTAAACATGTGTGTAAAATCGAAATCAAAAACTAGGAATTCACTCAAATTTCTTTCAGTAGTTTGCGCTGTTCAATAATTTCTCTCAGGGTACTCGCAGATTGGACACTTAAAGCCGAGCCGAGCTATTTTCCCATTTACGAAATAAGCGAATTTACGCTCGGCTGAGCTTTAAGCGTCTACTCTGCGATTGCCCTTGCTTGTGGTGACAAAGATTTTATACCCTTTGCAAATAAATAAGTTTTTCATACAATGATTTGATTTTGATTGGCCATTTCGTAAGCTTATAGCTGCCGATCTGTCTGTCTAATCCATTCCAAATTTTTGATATTATGCAAACTAAAAAAAGTTTTCCATACAAGGATTTTATTTTGATCGATTGTATGGCAACATGGGATTTTTTGAGAGAAAATGAGATTTGAAAATTTTCATCTCAAATCCTGAGAGTCGCACAGGCCGACATGGCAAAGTCGACTCGGCTTTTCGTATTGAGCATTTTTATACCCTGAACATTTATATATAATTTTTATAGGGTCTCTAACATTTCCTACTTGGTGTTCCAAACATCGCTGCAAACTTAATATGCCCTGTTCAGAGTATAAATATTTTAGGTTTCTCGTATAATATTACTAATTGAATATTATTCCGTAGTAGTAGAATTAAGGCTTTGTCACTTTGTATAGATTACGACGTATTCAAAATTTTCATCCATGAATTTGCGATTCCTCTTGTGTGCTAGTAGCAACCTTTAATTACATCTGTATTTTCTGTAGTGTACAGAAGTATCGTCGATGTCGGTAGTCCATTACATTTTCTTATTGGAATGAAGCAGGATAGATATATTAAACGTACTCATACTTTATATTCGAAGATCAACGCAATGCAGTGATGATAGAAAACTAAAAATAAAAACAAAAAAATTTCAAAAGAGACGCAACAAAACGCTAAACGGAAAGTAAACTAACAGCGGATGTTAATGGAAATGTAAGAATTCTTACAGTGAAAAAGTCATAAACTAATATTTATTTTCGTCTACGAATTTGTTGATGAATATTTTATGACAATTTTCTGAAAGAACACAAATTGCTGCTTTAAAATGTGTGTGCAATTTGCTGATAAATACTTATCAATGCGAGCGCAAAAACAAAGCAGGGGAGCGTTAAAGAAGCCCAATGGCGAACAGCTGATTTGGCGGCAATGTTACCGCATGCAAGCGTGCACAGCGATAGAAGTTGTTTTTTTTTTACTCATTAAATTTGCAACGATTTCTTGTAACTATACGTAGTATTGTGACAAAAAGTTAAATAAAATAAAATTGGATGTGCAATATGCCTTTAATACGCGGCAGTCTACATAAAGTGTACGCAATATATCAATTGGTGGCTAATCAAAGCAGAGCGAGTGCTCCAAGATTTCCATCAGTTTCCACAGCAAGCTTTCATCTGAATCATGCATATGCCGCAAAAGTTTTTGTTGATAGAGAGAATAAACACGCCCATGACGTGCTGGTGCAATCACTGAAACCTTATCAAATCTTCCGTGTGGATGAAATTACCCCAGCAGTAGCAAATGGACCTATTGCACCAGAACTGCCTGCGCTGATATCTACTGGGGAGCTATCTCGTGCCACCTTTGAAGAAGTCTTTGACACATTCAACGCTCTGGCATATTATTGCATAAGGACAAGCACGTGCATCTCAGACAGTCGCTTTGAACAATTCTGTCAAATTTTCTGTGAACAAACTCATAAACTCAGCAATGAACAGTTGTTATCCGCTCTACGACTATTATCCCAACTGCCAACAGAGAAGTCCGTGCGTGAACCCAACTATATGCAATTGTGGAACAATTTGGATGTGGAGTGCTGCCGCCGCATTGAACATTGGTCCAGCGATGAGCTGCTATTGGTTTGTGATGCTTGGTACTCTTTGAATTTAGCGCGCGTATGTGAGTTTGCCTGGGAAGCTTTACGTAAGTTGGGGCGCAAGGTACGACGAATGCAACCTGAACAGCTGGTGCAAGCAATGTTCTACTGCAATGTGCTGCGTCGGCCGGTGTTTGAAATGTTCGATTTCGAAGTGAATTTAGTACGTTTTGTGGATTCAATGTCACTGCAGGAGTTGGGTGTAATGTCAATGGGTTTCTTTAAGACACAAACACCCATACGTAATCCTGAATTGCTGGATCACTTGTACAAATGTCTAATAGCAGAAATAGAAACTGTTGATGATATCACAATGGTATCTATATTGAAAGTGTTGCGTTATAGCAGTAAAATACCACAAGTGCCGCAAATGATGGAGCTGATGGAGGTGTTGCAAACACAAATATCACGTATCTCACTAATGAGCTGCTTGCACGTTGCGCTCTTCGGTGTGGAACTGCAGTGTTGTCATGATGGCGTTTTAGAGTTAGTGCTGCAACGCTTTAATCGAGACATCGAAAATGCGCGCTTAAAAGATATGGAACGCATATGCTTGGCAATATCTGTGTTTAACTATCGTAGTCCAACTGGCGTTGAAAAAGAGTTGTGTGCGAAAATCTTGTCTCTACTTGAAACCAAAGTTGATGAAATTCTAAAATACCCGCGTTGCTTCGTAGCATGCTTGCATTATTTAACTCTATGTGGGCATTATAATAAAGAGATGATAACGTCTGTGCTAGATAAGCGATTCGTTGATCTTGCTTATGGTAAAAATGTGACCGCTGGACGTGAAATTTTTAATTTAGATTCTTTTGTGAAAATAAATTTGAAGGATGCCGACTACGTTGGCAATGAGTTGTCAGAAAAGAAACGTCGTTCCATGGGCAAAGTGCTGACACAGTATATACCGGAAAGAAATCAAAAGTTTAGACTAAATAAAACCGATCGCATACTGCTGGAGATCAAGGAAACGCTGGAACGTATACTGCGCCCAAATACATTGAAACACATCTTGCCACATTTCGAGCGGCCAGATGTAGTTGTTTGTTATGATAACACGCTGCGGCAGGCAATACCACTTGCACAGGACTGTCCGGAGGATTATAGCGGTAATTATATAAATATCGTAGCAATGAATATTTAGTATATATATTATTTTATTCCCAGGCGATATCTTGACACGCGACCTGCTGTTGGGTGACTCGGAAAAAACAAATGTGGACACCATTGCTGTGGTCATAGTTGGCTGGAATAATGTCGTAAAGGATAAACAAAGATTTACGGGATTATTTGAGTTGAAACTGAAGCAATTGCGCATGCTGGGACACAAACCCATTTTGGTAAGTATTTTTTTTTTTTGTGGATAATAGACTCGTTTTGATCCTTTTTTAAATTTTTAGGTTAGGATTTCTTATATTTATCAAAGTAAAGTTATTTTTTGATTTTGTTTTCATTTGTGAAGGGTATATCAGGTTCAATGTAACCGAAATCAACATGGTTTTGTTGTTTATAGCATCGTTTTGTTACTTTTTTTTTTAATTTTTAGGTTAGAATTTTTTTTTATAATTTTCAACGTTTTGATTATCTTTGCATTTTCAACGTACAAGCAGATAATATATTTTCATATTTTACGCACATTCATTTATTTTTTTTTTAACAAAAATTAATCTAAATTGTTGTTTTACTTAAAATTAACAATCAATATTTCTTACACCTAATTAATTATTTGCAGATATATTGGCACGAGTGGCGCGCACTAGAAACCCCCATGGATCGACAACAATTTTTAAAACGAAAATTAGCCCAATCGATAAATTTGTAACATTAAATGTACAAATAACCTCAGTAATATTAGTTAGCAAATTATATACCTAAGGAACACAATGTAGAAACAAATATTGAAAAGAAAAAAAACTGTTATTTCTTGTCCGTCGGCGCGCTTTTCGGATCGAACTCCTCGTGTAATATTTTCTTTGTATATTCATAAACTACGAATAACGTCGCCGTCGCCGGTATTGTGCGTAACACAGACGGTAATAAACCGTTATAGAGTGCCAGTATGCCCTCTTTGCGCACAATATCGACGCCCACCGTTAACATGCCATGACTCAAACCCTGCACTTGTATGCGACTCTTGATGACATCGGCGGGGAAAATCATTGTCCAGAGCATAACGCCGCCAACGGCGCCAGCAAACATGGTTCTAAGTGGACCAATATCGTCCTTCTTCTGACCGGGTCTGCAAATATGGTTAACAATTTTTAACTGACTTACAATGAAGCGCTATAGTTTGAACTTACTTAGTGAGCAGCTCACGCGTTAACTCGTAACTGCCGAAGAAGAAAAAGTAACCGGGCATTTCGCGCATGAACGTCGACGTGAGGCCGCGGAAAAAGCCGGGCAAACCTAAATTCAAGTTAGCAAAGCAAGGACAAATAGTAATTTTAATCAAAAAGTATTTTATTTTATGAAAACTAACTCACCCTCTGCTTTGTAGATGATTTTCGTTAATTTCCAAGGCGTCATATTCTCGTTTGCCGGTATGCCAGGGCAGCATTCATGTGACTGAAAGTGTTCGAAAATGTTTTAGCATTACAAATATAAGTTTTATACGTACTAACATATACGTGTAACTTTTAATTTGACCCACCTCGCGTATCGCCTGCAATTTGCACTTCACCAACTCGGTGGGACACAGCGTGAATGTCGAAAAGAACGCCGCAAAGAAGCCAGCAAATGCATTTTCCGTCGTGTTCAGTTGACTGTGGTTCTCTTTGCCCACCAGATATGCCACGAAGGACTGACAGCCGCCATATGCGGCAAAGAGCACTGAGTTTTCAGCCACATTCGCGATAACGGCCGGCACACTACCCGCGTAGAGGCCGCGAAATATGCCATCCTTCTTGTAAGTGTTCACAAAACATTCAAACATGTTTTTGTAGAGGAAGGGAAATGTCTGCTGCTTCACCTTAACCGTGTCCAGCGGCTGTGAAACATACACCTGCGTAGCGCCACCTAGTGGAAATAAATAATAAACCAGAAATTTTAATTTGTGTTTTGGAAAATTAACATGGAAAGGAAGTAGTAGGTTCAATAGCCTCAACATTGTTTCGCAAGTAACAACAACAACAATTACTGTTATTTATGAATTTGATGAATAAGGTAGGTACTTGTTTTATTTTTATTTTTTTTTTTTTATAAATCAAACAGCTGATAAGTAGTTAGAATTCTAGTACGAAAGTCACGTTGTAAATTTATTGGTGCCAAAAATAAAAGCAACCACTTGAACTACATCTGCGCGTAATTAAAGCTTCGGCAGATATATAATTTTGCGATAATTTCTTTAACTTTTCTTATAACAACAACATACCTCAATCTTTACCATCAAAACAATATCAATATTTCAAGATTTGTGCCATTTATGGTATACATTTTAATTTTTGAGGTATTGCAATTTTAGGTTAGGTTTGCATTTTTGAAAAAAAAAAACATGAAAATCTTGAATATTGAACTCTTTTCCACTGAAATGTTTGCCAAGTGGCTTTCACGGAATAAAAATAAAATTCTTATCAAAATCAGCTCTAATACATAGCTTTGCTTCGAGTGAGTTTGTTGTTGTTGTTGTTGCGGTTTTCTAGTCTCCTTTAGAGATGGTAAGGCTGAGATAAGTTGTCATTGAGGCCATCCAACGGTAGGCCCAGAAAACGTGTATGGTGGTTAGTGTCGTGGACTCATTGCTAGGCTCCGTTCAAACTCCACCTCGGTTAGGTGTAATATATGCAATGGATGGAGCCATCTTAAGACCTGATCAGGCCTTAAGACACACAGCGATTGGACCACGAGTTACGTGGGTGCTGCCAACGCCACTACTGCCACCTTAGCCTCTGCGACTGTTCAATCGGCACCAGGTTCACGCACTGCGCCGCCATTCCTCCAGAGTGGTCACAGAGAACCTCTACCGTTCATAGGAGCTCGAATAGGCAGCATTTTGATCAGTCAATTGTTCCTATATTTTAAATAAATATTCACTCTATTAAAGCTATTCATTGAGCTTGGGATCAGTATTCCTTTCATTAAAGATTGATGGGGCTGAGCTTCATATCTGTCTCCTATATTGTTGTAACCGCTTCTAAAGTCCGTTTCTGGAAGATTTTTTAGTTACTTTTGCCTTTGCATCGATCAGGATGTATGGCAGTTATACGCTGTAGTGGTCCGATTAGAACGGTTTCTTCGGAAATTGTACCGATATCTCGGACAATAATCTCTCCCGAATTTTATGACATACATATCTTGAGATATCTTGTCAAATAAAAAAAATTTCATACAATAACTTGATTTTGACCGGTCAAATGAGCATTTTCTTGGACAGAAAAGGACCTGTTCGAAGTTTCAGATTGGTATCTCCGAAACTGAAAGACGTTTCCTTTTGAGTGCGGTAGTCAATATTTGGAATGACAAATACTCATCGGCTTCTTATTCTTATCTCACGTGCTCCCGGTTGCTGCGGTCTCAGGCACGAAACGGATCGGGATTTACATATGTTTCATTGGTCAATAACTGGCAATAGGGCAACGGTCTCCGAAAATATTTTCGAAGTATTTGTTGCCACCACAATAACAACATATTCTTATCAAATTTAGAAAAAATTAAACTCTTTAAGAGAGCTTTTCTAATTCGGCAGCAAATTTCGATTTCATTTAGCTTTTTGCATCATTCATTCATTGAGTTTCAACTTTATACACACACATACATACATACACAGATATGTCTGACGCATTAATGTCTTTAATAAGTTTCGTTCACATAGCAGCACATGGCGCGTTGTTTCAGCTGGTCTATATGTAAATACTGTGTGTACCACCCCTCCACTTACCCAGCGAGCCCGCCACAAACTCAATTAATCGATTCTGCATGGCGCTTGGCGGCGGCGGCGGTGGTGGCTCCTGTTCCTTTCGCCACCAAAACAGATCCATTTGCTTCACTTGTGCTTGCTGATAGCGCTGAGCTCAACATACAACAACAAAAAAGTAGAGTCTTCTGCGACTTTATCTAATTATCAACGCCACAGCCACTCAATATCACTTGGCGCCTCAAACTTTTCCACGCACCGACTTATCATCAATAAGGCGCGGAAGCAATTCTGGTCGTGTGATGAAACTCTCGAGACCGCAACAGAGCACAAACGCGACACGCACTAATTCACTATACAATTAATTGCTGATCTGCTGAGCGCGACTGCCACTTGGTAACTGCCGCCGAATATTGCTCGTGCGTCGAGCGTTTGTTGCTAGCGCGCGCCGTTTCTACCGTTCGATGGCTTATCAGCATGAGCGCCAAATGAGAATTCGCTACAGCGCTCTCTGCTGTTGTTATATTTAATAGTAGTATGTACAAAAACAATTTGTTATGTTTGTGTTGTTGTTTTTCTTCAGCTTCAATGCTTCGGCAACAAATTCTAATCGCCAATAATATTTTTTCTAGCGTTTTTAGATTCTTGTCAGTGATTCAAGTAGCTGTACTATTGTTTTCAATGCCTATTTTCCAATTAATAAAAGTGTTGAAGTGGATTTCGTAGCGCTGATAAGCGATCGCAATGCAAATTTATAGTTTTGAGTGAAAGATTATTTATTTTTAGTTGTTGGTGAAAGTCTATTTTGAAATGATTTACTTGTTTTTGTTCATTGACTAAGAGCTGACAGCTTACAATAAATGTAAGAAATATGAAAAAATCTTAACAGTTATGAATTTTTTGTAGTAAAATGCGAAGACGTATTTTTTTAAGAGAGTTGCTCTTAAGTTTTTCAAAGAATAAAAAATACAATTTTAATGAAATTAATTATAATATTTTATATTTAAACATACTCTTATCAAAATTGAACCAGATCATAAAAACAAATTTTTTACGTACTTTAATGCAAATATTTATTTTTTTTACCTTTAAAATAGGCCCCTGAGTCTAAACACAAGCTTACGCTTAACCCAATTTTCTCTACACTTATTATAAGCCTCGGCTAGGATGGACATCAAACTTCACACGAAAAAAAGGTTTGTACCAATTTAGAAAAAATTCATTCTTCGAACAAAGTTATTGTATAATTTTTTTAAGTGCCTATAAAGGTGATCCATTTCGAGGTTCCCTACTTTTTGAAAACAAAAAAAAAAAACAGAAATTTCAAATCTAATGGATTATCTCTCTCAAATGTTGGCCGCGGCCACGACTCAGCTGGCCCATCCGTTGAGTCCAATTTTCGATGACTCGATCGAGCATTTTCACTGCTAATTGGCAATTGATACGCATGCTGTTTTGCTCCAAGGCCTGAATCGAAGCGGAATTGTCCTCATGCACTTTAGACTAACGGTGTCTTGCTGGCCAATCGACTGGCCTCGCCGTAGTGTTCTCTCTATAAGTCCATTGATTCATGCGATGTGCGGAAAGTGGCGCCATCTTCTTGAAACCAAATGCCGTCGAGGTCGCTTCAATTTCAGGCATCAAATAGCCAGTTATATGGAGCGATAACGGTCATTAGTTTTGAAGAAATATAGACCGATGATGCCACCTTCCCAAAAACCACACCAAACAGTTGTATTTTCTAGATAAAATGGAAAGAAGGTTATGTTGGTTATCGTATAACCTTTTAAGTGCCTTCTTTTTACTTTTTTCTTATTGCTTTAGCCTACAACCACCTATGCACTACTTCGCCGAGCCCTCGATGGCTTACAGACAGATATTTACAAGTTTGCTACCAGCTACCTCTTTATTTATACATAACCTTAACCTCTTCCAAAGCAGCTTTCAACGTGACTGAAATGTTTCTCTTTTTGGTCCATGATCATTATCTGATTAGCGACAAATTTCTCAGCTAGGAAATAAACAGTTCGTTGGAGATCGAGGGATAAACTATGATTGACAAGCTCGACCATATATATTATATGTCGGGATCCGCAACTCCATGGTACCTTAGCCGAAGTATTGTTAATTGAACTTTCTTAATTATGAATTCGAATTAAATAATTTCCCCTTTAAACAAATGGAAGGAGAATATATGTTGAATATGCCCTGGACGGAAATAACTTTTTGATATTTATAGGTACTGCGATCTTCTTTGAGCAGAGCATTCTTTATGTTGAAAATAAAGCACTTACATTAAAAGTTGGGGTACTTTAGGTTAGGTTCGGTTCAAAAATTGATCTCACTTAGACAATACATAACGCCAATCTATTGTGATACCTAAATACTTCTACGTAATGATTTAAAATACTTTAATAACCGACAAACCTTTTTGAGCCTTCCACAGATTTGTTGAGGCTGCTGGCATTAATTCCGGATATTTTGCCAGGTTCCCCGAAGAAATGACTGTCGAGATGTCTCAACCTCAATCTTGCAAAGACTGGACAATGAAGGAGAAAGTGCCTGCATGTTTCCACCTCGTCACTCTTCGTATCACTTTGAGAGTTAACGTCCGTCAAGATTTTCAGAATTAACGCATGCTCGCCTGTTGGAAATTTCCAGTAAGAACTCCCACCTCTGTGGCAAGATGCATGCTCTCACAGTCACATAGGAGCTAGTTCTTGACCAGCGTATGCTAAGTTCACGTGACTTTGTTCCTAAGTTCGTGCACAACCTTATAAACACATCAGCTTTCCAGTTTGTAGCGATCTGGCTATGACCAGGCAACCAAACGAGTTTGATAAAAAAAATATCTCGAGGTTATCGTTACTCCTTGACTAGTTTGGAAACCTGTTCTTGAAATATTCTAAAGTGATCCGGTGGACTAAAACTATGTTTGAGGGAGAGTTTCTTACTGTAACATGTCGGGGCTCACTTACCACTCTGGAAATTTACAATTTATTGTTTCGTTCATTCACCGCGATGGGACAATTAATTGGTGGAGATGACATGTCACTCAATTTTTTAGAACTTTTAGAAAAAGTGAGAACGTGAGAAATCCAAATCGAGAACGCGATCGGAAGTAGTTCGGAATGAACCTCGATAATCGAAAAAATTTGTTAACATTACCTTGATTTTTGACCTGCTTTGACGTGGTTTTTTCTGCTTCGGCTCTCTTTTGCCACGATACCCGGCTAACTGATCGTCTGTTTCCATAGATACTCATTGTCTGTAGTAACACGTTTCATGAAATCCTGGTAGTCGGAAAGCATTGTTTCGCAGGGGGTTTTCTGCAAAAAAATAGTGATTTTGGAACCAATCGCGCTTTCACTTTTCTTAAGCCCGAATTATCCTTCAAAATGGTTTTCACTGGTCCTTCCGACATTCCAACGATGCCAGTAAGATCTCTGACGTGTTAATTGTCGATTCTCAACCACCAATTCCTATATTGTATTTACATACGCGTTGTTCATCAGTTCTTGTGAATGGTCGTCCTGGACGTGGATTGTCGTCAACGCGTTCTCGACCCTCTTTGAATAATTTGTACCAAGCAAAAACATTTGCTCGCGACCAACAATTATCAGCGAGGGATTTCCCATTCTTAACGTTTCCACGCCCATACATTTATTTTGGCGAATGGGTTTTTCACAGACCTAATTTTTAATCAAAAAGTCTTACTATTTTTTGCCCACAGTAGCCTAGAGCCAAAAAGTCTCACAAAACAAGTTCGAAACACGCAAACAATTTGCTCCCTATGTAATTTAGTTTTATTAATTTTTTATTTATTTATTTATACGCTTTATTTATTGTTTGTGGTATATAATGTATTAAATGTAATATTCATTTATATTTTATGTATATATATATGTATATTTATATGGTGTATTTTTGATAAGTAATTTACACGAAATGCTAACCATAAGATTCTTATATTTTCTAATTACGATACATAGTACTAAACTTCACTAAATTATATAACTGTATATGGTTATGTATGTATATATTATGTGTTTAAATTTATATGTAGGAAGGTGTTGTCGCGCATGCGTGCGCGCGTGTGTGTGTGTGCGTTTGTTAAGGATGGGAGACCTTCTTAAGTGACAAGTAAATACATTTACATACAATATTAGCAGTACATAGCTTATCATATACATACTACATACATACAATGCACCAACAAATTCTAGGTGCATTACCAATCATCGCTCATTAACAGTTACACGCTGCCAACGCAATCTTTTCTTGGAGTTGCAGATACAAATTATAGTGGAGTACATATTTATATGTATATGTGTAAATATATTTGTAAGTGTGTGTATGTACAGAATTGTTAGTTAATTATTTTATATTTTCTTTGCCTTTGGGAAGCAACGCTAATTTCTGGTTCTTATGTAGACAATTTTGTTGTTGTTTTTGGTTTTTAATTTGTATACAGCTTGAGATTAATTTCCTGATGTGCGGTATTAATTTCTTTAATACATAATTATTTATATACATT